GGGGGGGTACAGGCTGGCTGGGAGGGGGCAGGAGACCCGGTGGGGAGGGGGTGCAGCCTGGCTGGGAGGGGGCAGGAGACCCGGTGGGGAGGGGGTGCAGCCTGGCTGGGAGGGGGCAGGAGAGTTGGTTGTCCAGTGCTGGGAGGCAGGGTGTGTGCGGGGGTGGGTGATGCGAGAGGGACTTCAGAGGGATTTTAATTGGAGTGTTTTCCCCAGTGCTTGAGAGAAGTTGCTCTCCTGTCTTCTGGTTGGCTCTGCTTACGACAAGAAATCTACTTGTCTTAGTGTGTGCTTACTGCTTTTAAGATTTTTATCTTTCATGCTATTTTTATTTTTTGCCTCCCTATTCAGTAATGCATCCCCTCATAGCTTTGCTTCTCCTTTCCTATTGTCAGAAGTATCTTGTGAATGTCACTTTATTCGTTTCGTCATCCTGTATAGTTGGCAGTAAATCACATTCTGGATAAAGGAGTGAGTAAGGGGTTTGTTCCCTCACAAGCGGAGAGGCATAGAAACGCGTCCATAAATGCTGCATTCCGACATGGCGTTCTCATCCCGGAGAAACGGACCCTAAAACATTTGGCTTTTCTGGAGACTTCACAGACCCCTGTGTGATTGTGTGGACACCCAAAATAGGGCTTCCTGGCTGGTTTGGAGCAGTTTGATCCGGGGGTGCCTTGCTGTGTCTGCTTTGTGCATTTTGCGCTCCTCCTCGTCTTTCTGTAGCTTGACGGCTCCTGTCCTGAGCGCAGAGCGGTATTCCAGCGCCCAGACGGACAGCAGTTTATAACCGACTCTCTGCCGAAGGACACCTTGGCCGTGTTCAGGGTTGGGCAGTTGTGGATAAAGCCGCTGTAAACATCTGTGTGCAGGGTTTCAAACCTGCGAAAGCCCAGAGCTGAATCGAATGGTGAGGGTATGTAGTTTTGTGAGACAGCGTTTTGCATTCCCGCCGGCCGCTCTGCGTCCCCGCCAGCACTTGGTGGTGTCCGCGTTCTGGATTTCGGCCATTCTGAGACGAGTGTCGCTGGAGCTCATCCTTGTCCGTGGCTTTTGAAGGTGGCTGTTTGTGCCTGGGGCTCACTTCTCCCTTTGGCCCTGGGTTCGCCGGTGAGGTGGTCTGTCCCTGTGGGCGCTGCCGCGTGGATGGCGGCTCTGCGGCCGGCGTGCTCCCTGCTCTGTGGGCCGGAGAAGGCCCTGTCCCTCCACTTTTGAAGCACTTCTTAGTTTTATTTTATTTTTGCCAGATACAGGGTTCCTGGTTGACTGTCTTTCACCATTTTGGATATGTTTCATTGACTCCTGGTATCTGTTGTTTCTGATGAGAAAGCCCTGTGTTTCTGCAGGTCTGTCTCCAGTGGCATTGCTTGTGGGTTTGGCGCTGGCAGGTTGATGGGGATGCACTTAGGTGTAACTTGTCCGCAGAGCTGTTAGGGCTGACGGGCGGTGCCTCTCTAAATTTGGGGTGTCTCGGCCATTGTTTCTCCCGACATCTCTGCTGCCCCCCGCCCCAGTGTCTGGCTGCACAAGATGACACCAGCCTCTCAGACGCCGGCCAGTCCCCCACGTTCTTTAACTCATACCTTGTACATTTTGGTTCTAGTATGTGTATTTGGCTTTTTCCCTTTCTCTACTGAAATTCTTCATTTTCTGCCTTTTCCTGCAGAAACAACCTGAATCTTCATTGTTTTCACCTGTGGGTCACTCTGGATATTACTTCTCTTAACCGTTTTCCTCTGGATTGTGGGTCCCCATTTCTCCAGTTTTGCTGGTTATTTTATTTTTTTTAAGATTTTATTTATTTATTTTACAGAGAGAGAGAGAGAGTAGGGGGAACAGCAGAGGCAGAGGGAGAAGCAGGCTTCCCGCTGAGCAGGAAGCCCGATGCGGGGCTCCGTCCCAGGACCCCGGGACCACGACCTGAGCCGAAGGCAGACGCTCAACACACTGAGCCACCCAGGCGCCCCTTGCTGGTTATTTTAAACGAGTCGTTTTCCTCGTGTTGATGCGGACACACGAAGGCCCTGGCCAGGCTGTCCTACGACTGTGGCTGCTGTGGCAGTTGGCATCCGTCTTCCTCAGTCCTCTCGGCAGCCGTGGTGCCGGAAGCCGCAGCTACTGGACTTGCCCCTGTGGCCCATGCAGGAAGCATGTGTCCTTAGTGGCTCCAGCAGAAGCCCCTGAATATCAAGGCTTGTGCCCGGGACTGAACGAGTGACTGGCCACCTGAAGTGGGCACTGGCCGAGGTGGAGGGGGAACAGGAGCAGAGAGCGTGTGGGCGGCGGGAGCGGCAGCTGGGTCTGGAGGAGCGCGGAGGCCGCAGGGCAGTGTTGGGCCAGGCGACGGGAGGTGTGTTTGGGAGGTAGCAGGGGCAGAGTTGTGCTTTAGGGAGACTGGCTGGGAGTGGACACCAGGGGCCGCGTTGCTCGGCCTGCACCACAGGTGGAGCCCTGGCTGTGAAGACGGCACCTATAAGGAACAAGCAGCTCATGCTCTCTGGCCGTGACTCAGGGAACGCCGACCCCAGGCTGAGGGTCCTTCAGTCACTAGGCCACGTTTCATTCAGTCGGCACTGATTGGGTGCCTGCTGGGTGCTGGCCTCTGCCCCGGCAGCTCCGGGCTGGGGAGGAGGGGATGATACGCAGACACACAGAAATGATGCCAGCGCTTCCAGGAGGTGGCGGACACGGCGGGGGGTGGGGGTGGGGTTAGGGTTAGCAACTTAACCCGGGATTCGGAATTCACTGATGTTAGCTTCTGAACTGAAGGTGACCCCAAGTACCTGCCCCACTGTTTCCCGTTCGATTAACCCTCCAGGGTGCTTCCTAAGGAGTTAGGCTCTCGGTCAAGCAGGTCAGTAGAGTCTCAGGGCTTAGGTACCCTCCAGTGCCCGTTATGCAGATGGACAGATTGGCCTGTCACAGCCCCCCAGGGGTACAGGCTCGACTCCAGGACCCTTAGCGGGGGCAAAGCCCCAAGTCTGGAAGAACTCCACTGTGGCCTTTCTGAGCCCCAAGAGTATACTTTCAGGTAATCTCTACACCCGACACGGGGCTCGAACTTAGCCCCCAGAGAAGTACATAAAGGCCGGGAGTGGTGCACTCAGGTGACACCCACTGTGTGCCAGGCACCTTTCTGCCCACCTCCCAGGCATCTCTCCCTAATCTTCGCTACACTTGGAGACACCTCGAGCCCATCAGGTTGACGAGAACTGACCATTTCTGAGCCCTGAACTCCACTCCCTCGTGGATCACCAGGCACCAAGGACTTGGTTCTGTCTCTAGGGAACATAGACAAGTCCCTGGGACCCAGCTGGGGGCTCAGTCTGCCACCTGCAGGTAGGGGAGGAACTGTCCAGGTCTGGTCCCCAGTCCAGGCTCTGTCCCTCAAGCAGGCCTCACTGGCCTGGGGTTCTCTCTGTACAGACTCCTTGCAATGTGGAGGATGCCAGCTAGCAGATGCAGGAGCTCTGACCGCGATCCTAACCTTAATGCTAATCCTTGCTGCCCTCATTAGATTTTAATCCTGACCCTGCCCAGGTGTTTCTAAGGGCTGTGTGAGACTGAGGTCAGCGGGGGGGGGGCAGTGGTTCCAGTCCCATGCGGGGCCCCCAGCCATGCTGTTCTCCAGGCTCATCTTCCTACCCAAGGTTTCTGTGCCCACAGGAGCCTCCCCTAGAGACCTCCTGGGTCCCACCTGCAGCCCCGACTCAGGCCATCCCCAGTACCATGCCTCCTCTGGCAGGCTCCTCCCAGTGATCTCCCCACCCAGCACACAATAGGTGCTCAATAAAGAACCCACCTTGGGCGCCTGGGTGGCTCAGTGGGTTAAGCAACTGCCTTCGGCTCAGGTCATGATCCTGGAGTCCCGGGATCGAGTCCCACATCGGGCTCCCTGCTTGGCAGGGAGTCTGCTTCTCCCTCTGACCCTCCTCCCTCTCATGCTCTCTGTCTCTCATTCTCTCTCTCTCAAATAAATAAATAAAATAAAATCTTAAAAAAAAAAAAAAGAAGAACCCACCTTTCCTCCACTCCAGTAGAGCGCTTCACTTTCTCTACCTTAACTGAGAATGGGTAGTCCCCCCGAGGTTAAAGTGAGAAAA